TATTCTATATTACAAACTCCGTTTTATGTGGCCTAGTTTTAGATAATGAAACTTGAGTGTATTGTTTATTTTGTTCTAAGAAAATTCTTTATTCTTTTTCCCTTTTTTTTCATTGGGCAGTGGTATTTTCCATAAAAGTATCCTTTGATTTGGATACGTTATACATGAAAAAGTTCTTACTTTATTAGTGCTGTTTTGTTCACAGTTGTTTTTGTATGATTAAGGAAGACCAACGCAATAATCTCTCCACCATTATCGGAAGAAAAGTCGACTTTAATATATATTATTCTATTCAAGCAAGAAAACAAAAAAGCATACGCAAGTATTCTAAATACAACACAAAATTTGAACATTTTCAAATTACTTGCACTTTGAAACTGTTACACCAATCTAGAAAATCATTCAAAACAAAAGAAACGATCATAACATTACACTAAGTAAAACACGTTTAATCTTAACTTATCAAAATACAATTTATCGAGTAGGGAGATCCAAAATTCTCAAAATAGATAAAAAATAAACAAATGGGTACACAATCAATTAGCAGCAATGTTCTTATCTCCAAGCACCAGATCTTCCTTCTCTCGCCATACCGCGTGAACCTCATCTGTACGAAACCGCTGCGTAAAGGTAGAGTCTTGAATCGGTGTTTCAATACCATAAACAAACGCAAGTAGACCCGTGTAAGCGATCATCGCTCCATTATCTATGCAGTATCGATCGTCCGTTGCAAACAGCTTACCATCGCGTTCAGAGCACATCGTCCTCATCATATCCTGCAAGCGCTCGTTGCAACCGACACCGCCAACTATCAAAACGTCTTTCTTGTCACAATGCGCCATCGCTCTTTCTGTTATCTCAACCAACATGGCAAACAGCGTCTCCTGCAAGATCAACAATCATAGAATTTCTATAAAATGTCCAAACTTTGGATTCTATGTGGCAAGATTAATCATTTATGACAAGTAATCAAGATCAACAATCATATATCTCTAAAATGTCGAAACTTTGCAATCACTTGGCAAGATTTATCATTTATGAACAAGTGATAGCCTTACTTGAAGAGAATAGCACAAGTCTGCAGGTGTGCACTCGTTATTCTTAAGCTTCTCCTCCGCGGTAGTTTCGATATAACTCAAGATTCCACTGAACGATACATCCATCCCTTTAACAGTATACGGAAGATCGATAAATTTTTCTCCCTTCTTTGCAAGCTAGTAAGAAAAATAAAAACCGAGTTAACATGGTTCTTGAATCTCGATAGATCCGAGTTTCCATTACTTTCAGATGAAATATTACCTGCTCGATGTTATAACCAGGACTTGGATCATTAGACAGCTTCAAGACTCTAGCGAATCGGTCTAAGCAATTACCAACAGCAATATCAATAGTCTCACCGAATATCCGGTATCTACCTTCACTATACGCAATCACCTGAGTATTCCCACCACTCACATACAGAACAACAGGGTCATCAGCTCCAGTAACTACTCTCCCCATCTCAATATGAGCCACACAATGATTCACCGCGACTAGCGGCTTTTTCCAAAGCTGTGACAATACCCTAACCACAATGGCTGGGACTTGCAACGGCGCTCCCATCCCGGGACCTTTCGTGTAACAGATACAGTCGATTTCTTCGGGAGTTACTTGAGAAGTTTCGAGAGCTGATTTGACTAAAGGAAGAATATGGTCGAGATGGTGATGTGCAGTCTCTCTAGGAAGAAAACCGTGACCAGGCGGGGTAATGTATGTATGCCGAGGATTCGCTAAGATTGTACCGTCTAGTGTCACAATCCCAACACCAATCTTGTTAGCTGATCCTTCGAAACCAATAGCAATCTTTTTCTTCATTTCTTTGATTTACATAGAAAACTCTCTGCATATAGAACAACAAAACAGAGCAGGCAAACATAAAATGAAATCAAAACCCAAACTTTACTCGAAATTGATTCGTACAACAAAATTACTCATTTTTTCATGAATTGGTAATGGTATTGTGAGAGATCAATCAAGAGATTCGTATAACCTAATTTTCTATTCCTCTGTTACTGCAGATTAAAGATCCATAAACCCTAGAAATTTTCAATCTAAACCCAGAAACCAAAACAGAGTCGCTCAAAGCATAATCAAACAAGAAAAACCTCAACCTAAATCTCTGTTACTCTTCATTCCCATAAAAACGATAAATTAACTCAGAAAACTCACCGGAGAAAGAAGAAGACGGTCACACCGGCGGCTGAAGCTTTCTCTTGTGAAGAAGACGACGACGTTTTTTCTCCTTTAGGGTTTGCAGAAGAAAAAGAGAAAAAAAAAAGCTTCAATTTTTAATAAAATTATTTTCCTTAAAAGTAACTAAAAGAAATTACAAAACAACCCCACAAAACTTTTTTTTGTTTACAATATAGCTTCAATTTTGAAATCGGAGAACATCGAGGACGAGAGAAAGAGAGAAATGGGTCTAAGCTCCGATCAAGTATCCTCCATGAAAGAAGCTTTCACGCTCTTCGACACCGACGGAGACGGCAAAATCGCACCGTCGGAGCTCGGAATCCTCATGCGTTCACTCGGAGGAAACCCTACACAAGCCCAACTCAAATCAATCGCTACTCAAGAGAATCTCTCTTCACCTTTCGATTTCGATCGACTTCTCGATCTCATGGGTAAGCATCTCAAAACCGAACCGTTCGATCAACAGCTACGAGATGCGTTTAAGGTGCTGGATAAAGAAGGTACTGGGTTCGTTGCGGTGACGGATCTTAAGCATATTTTGATTAGTATTGGGGAAAAGCTTGAGCCTGATGAGTTTGATGAGTGGATTCGTGAGGTTGATGTTGGATCCGATGGGAAGATTCAGTATGAGGATTTCATTTCTAGGATGGTTGCTAAGTGATGAAATTTGGTATTTTGATTTTATTCGATTCGATTCTTTGTTTATTGTGTATCTTCTTACAATGATTCTTCTTGATTCTGGAAATTTGCAGCTTTTATCTCTATGAAGGATTGTTTGTGTGTGTTCAATTGGGTTGCAAAATTCTCTGGCTTTTTCATTTTTGTGTGTGTTCTTATTAAAGCTGAACAATAAG